AAACAGAATATCCAGTAGCATGCAAGCCAAAATAAGTAAGCTTGGAAAACCCAGGCCTACACTGCCATTAAGTTATGTTTTTATGTTTAAAATAGTGGATGTAATTAATACAGAAAAAATACTAAAAATATTTAGTTTAAAACTCAACTAACAACAACTAACAACTAACTAATGCAATGCTACCCCTAACAAAACATTTTTTTGTGCTGAATATTTATATCCTTTTAAAAAGGTCCAGTGTCCAGCCTTCAGGAGTGGCATCTCGCAGTGAAGTTGCAACCTCCTCGCCTTACCCTCCCCTTCTAAGCATGTAGGTGAAACCTGACCGTAACACCCTTGAACAGCCCTCTGGTTAGTTATGAAGAGAGTGGAAATATAATAAACCAGGGCACTGAATATCCCTCAGAGCACATTAAGGTCAATAATAAATTGAAAGAATATGGCACTGCTGTAAATCTAAGTCTGTACAAGAGGGCACTAGTGACGAAGGCCACCAAGACGCCTATGGCCTATCAATATCATATTCCATTTCTTCCAATAAATTCTGCTATGTTACACACTGGACCATTAAGTGTCACTGGCAGACGTTGCAGATGTCATAATTTAGGAAAAACTGGATTGGACTCAAATGTGTGGATGTCTTCAGTTATTTAATGAAGATGAACTTAGAAGCGAGTGTAGGAAGGCAGGCAGATAAATGGCTATAAGTCCATGAAAAGCAAAAAGTTCAGCAAGGGAACACAGGGAAAAAGTAACCAGGGATAAAAAATACAAGAGAAAACCAAGAGCAAGGTGTTCACAGATTAAACCAAATAATTAGGGCGGGGCAAACAATCAAACTGGAGGGAAAACAGACAAAGACAGGAAGTGAAGAAGAACAAAACACAGTAGGAGGAAAATTACAAAATAAAACAGGAAATAACTAAAGAAAACTCAAACTCATCATCATCTATGTATAATTAGGCTGTAACAATCTGGTTAGTTACAGACATTGGACCATTTCAAAGAAATCCACAACTTGATAATACAAATAGTCCAGGGCATTGGATATCCCTCAGAGCACAGTAAGGTCAATAATAAATTGAAAGAATATGGCACTGCTGAAGATCTGCATCTGTACAAGAGGGCTCTAGTGACAGAGGCAAGAGGCTTATGGCACCTCTGCAAGAGCTCCAAAGACACTTTAAAAAGAGTTTCATGACATCTGGCCTAGTGTTCTACTCTGAAACACTGCCTAATAAGACCAATATTAAGGTTTTTTGGCCATCACAGTGAACACTATGCTTGGTATAATCCATACACTGCACATCAAAAGCACCATCCAATTGTGGTGGCAGTCTGGAGCTGTGGGGAAGTTTCTCTGTAGCAGGACGGGGAAGACTTCTAAATGTAGAGGTTAAATTAAATGCAACAAAATGGAGGAATACGTAAAACTTTGGAAGAGGTCAATTCTCCAGCAGACAAAAAGTCCAAACATTAAGCCATAGCTAAACAAGAACGGCTTCAAAATAAAAATGTGATTGCTCTGATGTGGCCAAATTCAGACCTCAGTCCAATCCAGAATTAGTTAAGGAATCTGAACTTGCTGCTCAATTACAGTTCATGTGCGTCTTGACAGAACTGAGCAGTTTTGTGTAGCCAAAGAGTGGAAAACTGCAGTGTCCAAATGGAAAGCTGTTACAGATTAATATTCATATCTACAGCATGTCTCAGGAAATAAATATTACATGTCATATTTGTTTCACAAGTTTTTCATGAGGTATTAGTGGCACTGTGATTTCAAATAGGGACATATTGTTGCAACTAAAATGGAGATCTTGCCCACTTTTCTGCTGCTCCTTCATTTGGGATAATTGCAGGCTTTGTGTTTAGTATGCAAAAACTGAAATTGTTCAAAATTAGTGCTAATTATTCCACTTGAGTGCTTGGAATTGCATCCTTTGCACTGAGGCTCCCTTTTCTTGGTGGAGGATTTCTTACATCAGTCAAAAAAGCTCAGACAGCTGGACCTGCTCAGATTTGCCGCCCTGCTGTGGGAATTATGTGGAAATGTTTGTTTCTCCCAGGTTCAGTTTAAATATTCATCCTCCACACTCTGCCATAAAATATTAATATTTATGACTTACTTTATCATTTCTTGTTTTGTGAGTAGCAGAAAGGGACTGCAACTAGCATTCCTTTTTTACAACCCTGTGTTATAAAGTGATAAACAGATTAACCTTGTACCTTGTAGATTTACTGGAACAGATAATATTTCCCAAGGTCAAAGGCAGAAAATGTCCCATTCCTGTTCCCAGCATCAGTAGGAAATGATCCAAAACCCATTTCTGAAGGCAGGTAAATTCTGCCAGTGACAAGGCAACAGTGCCCCAAATGAGTATAAATACCAGTACTCAACAATCAGACACACAGCACTAACCCAAAAGAGCTGACAAGATTCACCAAAAGATTGATATCTGCGTAACAACTAAAGCAGTCAAACCCTCCTAAGATGAAGACATTCAGTGTTGCAGTTGCAGTGGCCGTCGTGCTCGCCTTCATTTGCCTTCAGGAGAGCTCTGCTGTCCCAGTCACTGAGGTAAAAACTTGACTTCAGTCATTTCATTTGCTTATTAGCTGTGAATGTTTTGTCCAAATACTGAGACGTTGTTCCTAAAAGTACAAAATTCATTACCAGGTGCAAGAGCTGGAGGAGCCAATGAGCAATGAGTATCAAGAGTTGCCAGTGGAATCGTGGAAGGTACATTGAGTTAAATGAATGAATGAAGTCAAATACCATGAGCCAGTTCTAATGGAAGTGGATGCATTTTCACTGCAAAGTGCTCTGATGCTCTCTCCAGAAGAAATGATCAGAGCAGGAGAGAGAGAGTGAGAGATGATGCTGGAGATGAACACCTTGCTCATGTCTCTTGTCTTTCACACAGATGCCGTATAACAACAGACACAAGCGTCACAGCAGCCCCGGTGGCTGTCGATTTTGCTGCGGTTGCTGTCCTAATATGAGGGGATGTGGTGTCTGCTGCAGGTTCTGAGGATTCCTGCTCCAGCCTGGGATTTACACAGCTACTACTTAATATTCATTTAAACTTTTTCACTGAATTTTATATTTCCACTGTACTCCTCGGTGTAAATATCTGAGGATGTTGCTGGATTACATGTGTGCTCAGTGATGTGATTGAATCATCCAAACACTGTGTTTAATATCTGCAGATTGTACTGTGTATTGTCATAATAAAGTTCAATTTCACTGATATATAATGTGTGAATATGTTCTTTTAACATTGTTTTAGTCTTATAATAACCTGGTGTCAATTGTGAGAGTTGATTTCATTCAGCTGTGTGTCAAATACATCTCCTGGTTTAACATTTCTGTCAAACATAAACCAGAATAGCAAGTTATAAGGGACCAGTCTGATGCATCAAGAAGCACAGATATGTATTTGTTTATTTTGCAGAAAGGCAGAGTTGGTTGTGCATAATGAAAAAACAATAATAATTATGTATTCATCATGATGGATATAATGAAAAGCTTAAGATAGTAGTTTTAAGAAATGCTGAAGATTACGCTCTCTGTCATATTAACAAAATAGGTCATTAAAAAAGGGTAATCATTCTTGCTACTGTTTGCTGACACCAATGTGATATGAAGTAAGGTATATTGGATACTGTGGTTGATTCCTTGTATTGTATATATTATTAGTCTTCTGATGTTTAAGTAATTAGGAAAAAAACTAAGTAGCCTAGCTACTAATCAATAGTTAGATGTTTTCGTTGCAAAGCTGGTGCGGAGCTGCATGTATGGGATGTGTCCTTTGTAAAATCAACCTTGTTATACACTGGGCCCTAACTCTAAAACCCTTCTTATTATTATCTGCAATAGCCTCTAGTCCCTGCACATATAGTATCAACACACTTAGCGTCAACACAGTGATATAAATATATCTACAAGTTTGTGGGAGAGTTTGATGGAAAATATGAAAGTATTGCACCATGTTTTTGCACATTTTTCACAAATAAGCTGAGTTGTTTTGCAGCAGCATGGAAATGGTTATAAATGACTGAATCAAGGTAACCACAGTGGGGCATCATGCATTATATCTTCACACACGGCACTTTTAAATATAGAGGCTGTGCTTAACATCCTTATTGACAGGTTTAAGAAGAAAGATGCAATAAAGAAGTATAAAGCACTCATTAAGCTTGGTGTGTGTGTATAGGTATCCCTTTTGTTGGCTCTCTTAATATCTCCTGTTGCAGTCTTTATCTGTCTGCTCACACACTTTATCATGGTACAACAGGGATAGTAAAGAGCAACTGCAGATGGTTTTTCAGGTATTGTAAAAAAAAAAAAAAAAAAAATAATAATAATAATAATAATAATAATAATAATATTTTCTTCTCTTAACATGAGTAGAACAAATTAAAACTTTAATTAGGCAACATGGCATCGCATGCACTACTTCATCCATTTTGTCACAGTGCTTTCAATAATAATATTCTAGGTTTATCTAACATTCCGTAAATTAACTGATAAGGATGAAGACAAAAACATATTCATCATGGCTGCATATTTGTAATTAAGTCTCTCAGTTTGATTACAAATAAATGGCACACATCATTTTCAGAAAACATGTAGGGGTAGTTTTGTTTTGTACTATGGTTTGTTTATTATAATAACATTGTTTTTACTATCATTTATGTATTCATCTTTTCTGTTTAAAATATTCCAGTGTGTTGTGTAAATGACATTGCTCTAATATATGCCCGGACATAAGTGATACTATGCAGTAGAATTATAAGAAAACATGATATATGGAACAGACAAACAATGATAGAGAATTCCCGATTCTCACTGCTGAGGAATTTCCCATTCTCCTTCCCAGCATCCCTCAGAGAGTGATGCAAGCCCATCCTTAAAAGCCACTACTGTACTGTAGGTGCTGTCAGTGATGAGGCAACAGTGGCCTAAGTGAGTATAAATAGCAGCAGGTTTTACACATTCAACCATCAGACAGGAGAAGAAGTCAAAGGAGCTGACAAGAGTCACCAAAAGAGTGAAAGAATTGAAACCTTAAAGCAGTCAAACCCTCCTAAGATGAAGACATTCAGTGTTGCAGTTGCAGTGGCCGTCGTGCTCGCCTTCATTTGCCTTCAGGAGAGCTCTGCTGTCCCAGTCACTGAGGTAACAACTTGACTTCAATCATTTCATTTGCTAATTAGCTGTGAATGTTTTGTCCAAATACTGAGACATTGTTCCTAAAAGTACAAAATTCATTACCAGGTGCAAGAGCTGGAGGAGCCAATGAGCAATGAGTATCAAGAGATGCCAGTGGAATCATGGAAGGTACGTTGAGTTAAATGAATGAATTAAGTCAGATACCATGAGCCAGTTCTAATGGAAGTGGATGCATTTTCACTGCAAAGTGCTCTGATGCTCTCTCCAGAAGAAATGATCAGAGCAGGAGAGAGAATAAACAGAGTGAGAGATGATGCTGGAGATGAACACCTTGCTCATGTCTCTTGTCTTTCACACAGATGCCGTATAACAACAGACACAAGCGTCACAGCAGTCCTGGTGGCTGTCGCTTTTGCTGCGGTTGCTGTCCTAATATGAGCGGATGTGGTGTCTGCTGCAGGTTCTGAGGATTCCTGCTCCAGCCTGGAATTTACACAGCTACTACTTAATATTCATTTAAACTTTTTCAGTCAATTTTACAACATTTCCACTGTATTCCTGGTTGTAAATATCTGAGGATGTTACTGGATTTGGTCACGTGGTTGTTAATGTGTGCTCAGTGATGTGACTGCATCATCCACAAACTATGCTACATATGTCACGGGGGAAGTTTGATTTTATTTAAGCATGCTTTTACTTTGAATTTGCTGTGTTTTTGTCTTATTTATTATTGCATGCTTTTATTTTGAAGTGTGTTTGTGTTACGTTGGTTTTACTTCCCCACCGGAGACATACCTTAATCAAGCATAAGGACTTACACCTGGCACCCAGAGAGGGGAGTGACTGTTCTTGGATAAAAAGGACACTGGAAGATACCCGGGGGCACGAGGGAGGACACAGAGGGCACGAGGGAGGACACGGAGGTCACAACGGGCCGGACAGCAGGAAGCAGACAGAGAGACAGAGCAGATCATCGCACTGGAAGAGGTCTGAAGAGACACCGGAGCAAACACCGACCGTTAGCGGCTATAATTGGGAGAAGGTAAAACTTCTCCCTCCCGCGTAAGTCCCGTTTCAGACCGGTGTTTGTGTAGTGTGTAATATATAAAGTTGTGCCTTGTTAAAGGACATTGACTGGCCCTGAGTTTCCCTCGACAGGCTGCCGAAGAGCGGAGCCAGGTGAAGAGCAGGTGGTCGCCACCAGAGACCCGCGACTGCCGTTGTTGACCCCCCCACTCCATCCGTGCCACATTATTTTAGCTGGGTTTTAGTTGTTTGTGTTCTTTGTTTAGTTTATTTGAAGGTAGAGCTTTTAGTTGTTTTTACTTATTTTAAAATAAATTGTGTTCAACTGTGTTCCACTGGCTGTACTCATTGTTTTAAAAATAACACTGTTTACTGCTCTCCCCCGACATAAAAGAACCTGTTTACCCTAACTTTAATTTGGTGATCCTAAGAGGTCCTAGGCCTCAGTTAAACCTAGGTGGCGTTGTCGGCACTTGTGTTTTAATTTATCCACCCTTAGCACGGCTCACATTTTGGCGTTGTCGGCAGGATCGGGTACAGAGAGCAGTGTGGTGTATTTTAAAACAGTGAATATGATGATGCCTGTATATCCTGGTGCCCCTTGGCTGCCAAAGTTTAAAGGACCAAATTGTGACCTGAAATATCATGACTGGAAGGAGCAAATACAGGGCTTACTTGGAGCGCAAGAGCTAGCAGAGGCCAGAAAAATTGACATTGTGTTGGGTGCGTTAGCTGGGGAAGCCAAACGGCAGGTCAGTGTTTTAGAGGATGACGAAAGGGATAGAGCACGCAAAATCTTTCTGTATTTGGACTCTCTATATGGAGACAGAACCCCCGCCCCAGTGTTAAGGTCTCAGTTTTTTAGTTGTGTCCAAAGACCAGACGAGACTGTGCCCTCATTCATTCTAAGACTAAGAGAGCTGTATTGCAGGTTGCGGCAACATGACCCTGATGGAACTCCCCCTGACACAGTCCTGCGAGACCAGCTGCTGTTGGGGCTGCGTGAAAGTTCCCTGGCTCAGGCCCTGAAGGTCTATGCCCGCCGTAACCCTGATGAAACTTTTTCTGCAATCAGACAGGAGGCGCTGCTGCTTGATACAGAACATGGGAACCCCCAACCGGAGGTAATCTGTGCTTCTGTGTATAAACCAAATGTGCCTCCTCCATCACAGGACACCAGCTGGAGAGAGACCCTGAAAAGAGAGATCATGGAAGACGTGAAATCTCAGATGACCGGACTGACCCAGGAACTGTTGCGAGAGATTAAACCGCTCCTTCAACCAGCTGTTATTGCACCACAGCCCCTAATACAGCCCTATAGGGAGCGACAACGATCAGTTTCCCAGACGAACACCTGGGATGAGCAAGGTAGGCCCATTTGCCGCCAATGCAGACAAGCCGGCCACATAGCTAGATTTTGTAGGAGGCCAACTACTGCTCGGCAGGCTTTAAACTAGCTTTCCCTGCTGCTGAGGTCCGAGGGGCAGGGGTTGAAAGTACAACAGAAGAAAACGGGCCCACTGAAGCATTTATTGGAAGGTGTCCAACTATAGACGTAAACATTGAAGGAGTTACACTGTCGGGGCTATTAGACACGGGGTCCCAGGTCACCTTAATGCAGCAAAGCCTCTTTGAGCAACATTTTACCCAAGCTAAGCTTGGAAAGGCTCCTATAGTTTTTAAGTTACAGGCCGCAAATGGCCTGGAGATCCCTTATACGAGCTATGCCGTATTAGATCTGGAGCTAGAGGGTGCTAAGATACCTGGAAGAGGAATTGTGATTGTGAAGGATGAACACTGTACACACCCACTCATCATTGGAATGAATGTTGTTACTGCTTGTTGGACTGTTTTTTTTAAATGTCCCAGAGGGTCTGTTCCCCCCCCACAGACGTTACAGAGACAGCGGGTTTGGAGGGATGCATTTGCTACATGCAGACACATTGAGGCTACCATGACAGAGGACGGGATGTTGGGGTACGTGCGGCCAGCCAGCCGACGGGTCATCAAAATTCCCCCAAAGAGTGAAGTACTGGTGTGGGGTCGGGCTCGGATGAGCCTGGGGGAAAAGATTACTGTGCCCTAATTGAAGCGCTGCCTGAGACTTGCAGTGTGAGGGTGGCCAGGACCCTAGCAGTGATAAGAAATGGCAGAGTCCCTGTGAGAGTTTTTAACCCACACCCCTACTGTTTGATGCTAGATCGGTACCAGAAGCTTGGCAAACTGTCCCGGGTGGATGAAGCGGATGTACATGGAGCCTGCGACCTTAACCTGTCCCTTGAAGGTGATTGTGTTGTTGGAGTGACACTGGTAAATGCTGCAGTTGGCGAGGAGGACCAGAAGCTGCCGATAGGGGTGAGTGAACTCTCCAACAGGCCTGATCTGTCTGAGCAGCAACAGGAGGAGCTGCGCGCCCTGCTGCTGAAATGGCAGAAGGTGTTTGCACAGCACAATGAGGACTTCGGACGTACAGACCTGGTACAACATCGCATCCATACTGGTGATGCACCACCTATCCGAGAACGACATCGACCTCTTCCCCCTGCCATGTATAAAGAGATGAAATCCCTACTCTCAGGTATGCTGGAGCAAGGTGTCATTAAAGAGAGCTGTAGCCCATGGGCGGCACCCATAGTACTGGTGAGAAAAAAGATGGCAGTTGGAGATTCTGTGTGGATTACAGGAAGTTAAATGCAATAACTCATAAAGATGCATTTCCCCTGCCCAGGATTGAAGAAACCTTGACCAGTCTGACCAGAGCAGAATGGTTTTCTACTCTTGACTTAGCCAGTGGCTATTGGCAAGTTGAGATGGACACCCAAGACCAGGAGAAGACCGCCTTCACCACACCGCTGGGGCTGTATGAATTTGAGCGTATGCCCTTCGGCCTGTGCAATGCGCCAGCTACCTTCCAACGTCTGATGCAACAATGTTTAAATGGCCAATTGTCAGAATCCTTACTGGTTTATTTGGATGACATTATCATTTATTCACCTGACTTTTCCTCCCATCTACAGCAGCTAGATGAGGTGTTTAACAAACTGTGGCGGCATGGCTTGAAACTGCGCCTGGATAAGTGCAAACTCCTGCAGAAGGAAGTGAAATTCCTGGGCCATGTGGTGGACCAAAAGGGGTGAGTCCTGATCCAGACAAAATCTCAGCCGTAAAAGACTGGCCCATCCCCACCACTGTAAGACAGGTACGAGCCTTCCTTGGCTTAGCTGGCTATTACAGACGCTTCGTTTCTGGCTTTGCAAAGATTGCACGCCCCCTCAACCAACTGCTGACAGGCATCCCTGCTGATAAAAAGTCGCAAATCCGAAAGGTACAGTGGTCCTCAGAGTGCCAGACATCCTTTGATCACCTGAAAGCAGCTTTAACACAAACACCTGTTTTGGCATATGCTGATTACTCCCTGCCATTCCTCGTTTACACAGATGCCAGTAATCATGGTTTGGGAGCAGTCTTGGCCCAGGTCCAACAAGGGCGAGAACGAGTGATAGCCTATGCCAGTCGCAGCCTACACCCAACAGAGCGGAATGATGCAAATTATAGCTCTTTCAAACTAGAGCTCCTGGCTCTTAAGTGGGCAGTAACCGAGAAATTTAAAGACTATCTGACTGGAGCCCGATTCACGGTGTACACTGACAATAACCCTGTGGCCCACTTACAGACAGCTCGCCTGGGTGCCGTGGAACAGCGCTGGGTCGCACAGCTTGCCTCCTTCGATTATGACATCAAGTACCGCTCAGGTAAAAGTAATGTAAATGCAGATGCCCTGTCTCGGTTCCCAATTAACCCACTGACTGCAGATGCCTCATGTGAAAACCTTGAGCTGGAAACCGTTCCAGTCACGGCAGCCATTGAACTGACCCCTGAGGGAGGTGAAGAGGAGTGGACAGGCAGAGAGTGGGAGGAGGCACAAGCTGGTGATGCGGACCTTCAAATCATTAAGAGGTATGTGGAAACCCAAATGATACCGACGAGACCAGAGCGCCTGACATTGTCCCTTAGAGCCCAGAGACTGTTGCAACAAAAGCGAAAACTTCAGGTTAAAAGCAAAATACTGTGTCGTAAAATGATTGACCCGCACACACACGAAGTGTGTTTCCAGATTGTGTGTCCAGAATCTAGGAGCCAAGAAGTTTGGAAGAGGATCCATGAAGCCGCTGCCCATGCTGGTGTGGAGAGAACCCTAAACCGGATCCGTCAGCGGTTCTATTGGCCTGATATGGAGAGGGAGGTACGTCAGTTGCAGCAGGGTTGTGTTGCCTGTAACCTGCAGCGAGACAGGGTGGAGCCTAAGGCCCCCTAAATCCATTCACAGTATCCTACCCCTTAGAAGTGGTGGGGTTGGACTTTTTGTCCTTAGGTCGGCCCACAGACACCTACCAGAACATTCTTGTTGCTACTGATCTGTTTACCCGTTTTTCTTGGGCTATTCCCACTCGAGATCAAACAGCTCAGACTACAGTAAAGGCCCTGTGGACCCATGTGATCCAACCATTTGGTTGCCCCGCCCGTTTCCATTCTGACCAGGGACCTAATTTCGAATCTGCACTTATGAAACAATTTTGTGATACCTATGGTATAACTAAAAGCCGCACAACTCCCTACCATCCCGCAGGAAATGGCAGTGCAGAGCGTTTTAATCAGACCTTGTTAAATATGCTCCGCTCTTTAGAGACGTCTAAGCAATTTCACTGGCCCGACTATCTGCCCGAACTGACACACGCCTATAATAACACCACACACAGTGCGACTGGGTATACCCCTTCCTTCCTCATGTTTGGGCGACACCTGCGACTTCCTGTTGATGTAGGATTAGGTGTAGGTCCCCAACAGATGAGGCACGATGTAGGTGGGTGGGTACAAGACCACCAGCAGAAACTGTCCTTAGCTTATAGCCTGGCTAAACAAAGAATAGAGAGTGCAGCCACCCAGAACAAGCAGCACTATGACAAGAGGGCCAAAGCGTTACCACTTTTACCGGGGGAAAGGGTGTGGGTGCGAGATAGGAACAGACGAGGGGCAGGAAAGTTGTGTACTTGGTGGGACCCAGAGCCATGGGTGGTGTTGGAGCAGGTGGGGGATACAGGGGTTGTGTACAAGATTCAGCCAGAGAAGGGTGGCAGAATACAAAATATCCATAGGAACTCACTTAAGGTGTGTACAGTACCCCCAACCGAAGTCCCGCTACCAACCACTGAGCCGGTTGTCCAGATGCAGGGACCCATCCAGCCCATGATCTACGGGTTCCTTCCAGCACCGGTAGCCATACCGCCTGTGAATGTGGAACCTGAGGGTGCCCTACGATGCTCCACCAGGGTAAACTTTGGACAAACTCCAGTCCGTTATAGAGACTCATAACATGTTGCAGGGACTGCTAACTTTAAAGTGTGGGGAGATGTCACGGGGGGAAGTTTGATTTTATTTAAGCATGCTTTTACTTTGAATTTGCTGTGTTTTTGTCTTATTTATTATTGCATGCTTTTATTTTGAAGTGTGTTTGTGTTACGTTGGTTTTACTTCCCCACCGGAGACATACCTTAATCAAGCATAAGGACTTACACCTGGCACCCAGAGAGGGGAGTGACTGTTCTTGGATAAAAAGGACACTGGAAGATACCCGGGGGGCACGAGGGAGGACACAGAGGGCACGAGGGAGGACACGGAGGTCACAACGGGCCGGACAGCAGGAAGCAGACAGAGAGACAGAGCAGATCATCGCACTGGAAGAGGTCTGAAGAGACACCGGAGCAAACACCGACCGTTAGCGGCTATAATTGGGAGAAGGTAAAACTTCTCCCTCCCGCGTAAGTCCCGTTTCAGACCGGTGTTTGTGTAGTGTGTAATATATAAAGTTGTGCCTTGTTAAAGGACATTGACTGGCCCTGAGTTTCCCTCGACAGGCTGCCGAAGAGCGGAGCCAGGTGAAGAGCAGGTGGTCCCCCCCAGGGACCCGCGACTGCCGTTGTTGACCCCCCACTCCATCCGTGCCACATTATTTTAGCTGGGTTTTAGTTGTTTGTGTTCTTTTGTTTAGTTTATTTGAAGGTAGAGCTTTTAGTTGTTTTTACTTATTTTAAAATAAATTGTGTTCAACTGTGTTCCACTGGCTGTACTCATTGTTTTAAAAATAACACTGTTTACTGCTCTCCCCGACATAAAAGAACCTGTTTACCCTAACTTTAATTTGGTGATCCTAAGAGGTCCTAGGCCTCAGTTAAACCTAGGTGGCGTTGTCGGCACTTGTGTTTTAATTTATCCACCCTTAGCACGGCTCACACATACCTGCAGATTGTCACAATAAACTTGAATAAACATATAATGAACATATTATGTGTGAACGTGTCCTTTTAACATTGTTTTTGTTTTATAATGAGCTGGTGTCAATTGTGGAGATGGGCTGGCTAGAGGGTAGCATGGAGATTTTAAGGGGTGGCAGACATATGTATATGCTTTTTATATTTAATTGCAACCAATCACATATATTAAAATTTGATATTTTAGATATTTTAGCTCACATTTGTATTGCATTAAAATCTAAAGGTGACATTAATAAATTGTTTCCTTATCTTCAGACACATTTCCAAATACACATCTATTTTCATTAAAACCCTACTCTAAAATGTGGCCATAACACATTATTATATATTTTTTGTTTTTTAACATGTTACAAAACTGGGATGGCCAGGCATTTTTTAGGGTGACAGCTGCCACCCCATACCACTTATCTAGGTCCACCCCTGCCAATTTTGCACAAAGATGGTCGTGTGTGATTAAATAATAATAATCATCCTCCATTGTATATTCTTTCTGAGTTGAATGTTTTAAAACATTTTAATTGGATTTGAAAGTTGAGTGATAGCTAAAATTTCTTTAAAAGTTTGAATGGAGGTTCTAGCTGAAAGTATGCATTTTTGAATTGTTAAGAATTGAAGATTCAAGAAAAACTGGGTGTAATGAACTAGGTAAATTAGTAAATGGCAAGGTAATGGAGTAAATTCCTATGTAATTGAGCAGAAGGCTAAGTAATGGAGTAAATGGATAGGTAACCGTGTAAATGGCTGGGTAACTGAGTAAAGGGCCAAGTACCTGGGTAAACGACTAGGTGATTGAGTAAACTGCTGGGTAGTCAGAAGGTTTATGATTCAAACCCCTGCTCCCCCAGCCTAGCAACTGGCTCAGTAATTGAGGCTGGGTAATGAACTAGGTAAATTAGTAAATGGCTAGTTAATGGAGTAAATTCTGCATAAATATTTTAGTCATTTAGTAAAGGTGATAGATAGGTAATGGCTAGGTAGCTAAATGAGAAGGTGGAGGTGGGCAGCATAGCTAAGTAGGTAGAGCAGCCATCTCATAGTCAAAAGGCTGATCCCTTATGACTTTGTATTCTGGTTTATGTGTGACAGAAATGTGGAGATGTATTTGACACACAGTTGAAAGAAAGGTAACTCTCACAACTGACACCCGATTATTATGAGACAAAACATTGTTAAAAGAACATGTTCACACATTATATATCAGTGAAATTGAACTTTATTATGACAATACACAGTTGAATCTGAAGATATTAAACACAGTGTTTGGATGATTCAGTCACATCACTGAACACACATGTAATCCAGTAAAATCCTCAAATATTTACACCGAAGAGTACAGTGGAAATGTTGTAAAGTTGACTGAAAAAGTTTAAATGAATATTTAATAGTAGTTGTGTAAATCCCAGGCTGGAGCAGGAATCCTCAGAACCTGCAGCAGACACCACATCCGCTCATATTAGGACAGCAACTGCAGCAAAAGCGACAGCCACCGGGGCTGCTGTGACGCTTGTGTCTGTTGTTATACGGCATCTGTGTGAAAGACAAGAGACATGAGCAAGGTGTTCATCTCCAGCATCATCTCTCACTCTGTTTATTCTCTCTCCTGCTCTGATCATTTCTTCTGGAGAGAGCATCAGAGCAGTTTGCAGTGAAAATGCATCCACTTCCATTAGAACTGGCTCATGGTATCTGACTTCATTCATTCATTTAACTCAACGTACCTTCCACGATTCCACTGGCATCTCTTGATACTCATTGCTCATTGGCTCCTCCAGCTCTTGCACCTGGTAATGAATTTTGTACTTTTAGGAACAATGTCTCAGTATTTGGACAAAACATTCACAGCTAATAAGCAAATGAAATGATTGAAGTCAAGTTGTTACCTCAGTGACTGGGACAGCAGAGCTCTCCTGAAGGCAAATGAAGGCGAGCACGACGGCCACTGCAACTGCAACACTGAATGTCTTCATTTTAGGAGGGTTTGACTGCTTTAAGGTTTCAATTCTTTCACTCTTTTGGTGACTCTTGTCAGCTCCTTTGACTTCTTCTCCTGTCTGATGGTTGAATGTGTAAAACCTGCTGCTATTTATACTCACTAAGGCCACTGTTGCCTCATTACTGACAGCACCTACAGTACAGTAGCTGCTTTTCAGGCTTGCATCACTCTCTGAGGGATGCTGGGAAGGAGAATGGAGAAAATTCTCAGCAGTGGGAATCAGGAATTTTTTATCTTTGTTTGTCTGTTCCACGTTTCAATCATTAACATTTTTATCTTTTATTGCAAAGGCAGTTCTATCACAGAGTGTATGGTTATACAGTACTTATTCTGCACTTCTAGTATCTTTCAGTTATATACAATAAAGAAGATGCATATCATACAATATTAAAATAACAGCAGATTTTGTAAATCCTTTCGTTTTCTTATACCTTAACTGCAATATATTGACACTGATGTCCTGGAATATGTTATCAATTGTTAATAGATCAGTGTCATATAAAATACAAGTCAGGGGCCAAGTGAATTTTCAGTAACTTCAGTCTTTCCAAAGAGGCCTATGATGTGCAATAACTAAAATCCCTGACTTTGACACCTGTGTCAACAAACAGCTCTACAGCTGTTGGATACATCTGACTACCCAGGTTTTAAAATAAATGTCATTGATGTGACAGAGAGCACAACCTTCAGCATCTATTGAAGATCATGTAGTCTCCAGACCTCTCAAAGCGCTGTACACTAAATTCCACACTCACCTATTCATATAATGATGACAAAGGCCATCACAAACAGAGAATAATTTATTCAAACACATTCATACACTTATGCACAGCATCAAGTGCAATGTGGGGTTCAGTATCTACAGCTCAACACCTCTAAGACGAAGGAGCTGGTCATTGACTTTGGGAGGTCCAGACCAAGACCGCGACCAGTCCTGCTAGAGGGAGCTGAAATGGAGGCTGTGCAATCATACAAATACCTCAGGCTGTGGCTGGATAATAAACTGGACTGGACAACACACCAGCCACCTGTACAGGAAGACACAAAGCAGGTTGTACTTCCTTAGGAGATTGGGGTCTTTCAACATCTGCAGCAAACTGCTGTGGATGTTTTACCAGTCTGTGGTTACCAGCGTCCTCTTCTACACTGTGCAGCATATCCAAGAAGGACACCTCCAGACTAGATAAACTGATCAGGCGGGCCGGCTCTGTGGTCGGCAGGAAGCTGGACTCACTGGTGACAGTGGCAGAGAGGACGACACTGGACAAACTGCTGGACATTATTGACAACGCCATCCTTTGTCCCTCATGCCATCATACTCTACAACTCCTCACTCGGGGGGGACGTACGGTAAAGAGGACAGAAGGGAAGGAGCGGTAGCCACTCACTGTGCAATAATAATCTACTCATACATACCTGGACACTCTTCTTCTCCTTTTTTGTGCAATAACTTAATCCACCGCTTAAGTGCAATAATTTAATTTAACTGCTAATTTCTGCTGATGTCATTTATCCACTGTATAATAACACAATGCCATATACAGTCCTATATATTTTATCTTTATTTATCTATATTTATCCTCTATACAGTTCTCTACATTTATTTTATTTTATTTTATTTTCTGTGAATTTTATTTTACTTTTATTCTTATCTCTACTTTCTATATTTAGCTAAGAGTTTATTGTTTACTTTCTATATTTAGCTAAGAGTTTATTGTTTATCTTATACTGTATTTTTAATACATCTTTTATTTTCTATACAAGTGTTTTGTAAGCTGCTGGAAATCGAATTTCCTTGCGGGAGTCATCCCAAAGGGATCAATAAAGAGAAGTCTAAGTCTAACTATCTTGCTCCAGGATACTTCAACATGCAGCGAGAAGAGCTGGGGATCGAACCACCAACCTTCTGATTAGCAGACGACCTGCTCTACCTTTTGAGCCACATGCCTTAATCTTTTTAAACTTTTCTCAATCATTCTTCTTCCTGTGTGGTTTATTAGTTAAATTGTGTGCATTTGGATGGAAACCCTGATAGAACAGAAGTCAAACAGAATCCTTTACCCCAAATGGTTGGCTAGTTTCTGTGTAATGTTATGTTAGCCATTAACCCTGCTCAACCAGTTATCAGTCTTTTTAAATATGGATTTAAACTTTTTTCCCCCAAAAAGACATCGATAGTTAGCTTGTGCTTTGGTTAGCACGCTAATTATGATAACAGAATTTACAGAATATGTTTTTCTCCAATGTGTGTAAATATGGAATTTATTTGTAACAGTGTCTAAATACTGACGCCAACTCATTAACACTGACTTTATGAAGTAGGTTGTTAGCTTCCATTAAGTTAATCTCATTTGTTTGATTGAGTTTTCTCTCAGTCAACTCATTGGAAATTTGAGCTTCCGAACATGAAAAATACACATTAAGTCTAAATTATACGCAATATGCAAATATGATAACAATGTAAATACAACTGTTCTCATCAGCTGTACTTTGTTATTCTCCTGTTTTTAAGTGAGCTAAACTCTACAATACATTTTCTGACAACAAACATACAGTCTCTGTATCATCACTTGAACAAGAAATAAGTTTCAGTCCCTTCACATATGATAGAAAGTATTTGGCACTAAAAACCCACCATATGTCATTTTCTGTTGTAGATGTAAACTGCACTTCATCTGACAAAATGCCATTAAACTCAGGACATCACCTCTTTTGGGCTCTGTGACTGCATGCAGGTCAGTGGTGTTTTAATTTAGTTCATTTATTGTAAAATTGTGCATAGTCCTGTTTTTACACCCAACTGCAATGTTTTATGTTTGTGAAAATACAAAATTTGCACTACAAATGTTAGGTCTTCACTGTATTCTGGTTTGTGTGTGAGAGACATGTTAAACCAGGAGATGCATTTGACACACAGTTGAAAGAAAAGTTAACTCTCACAAGTCACACCAGATTGTTATAAGACTAAAACAATGGTAAAAGAACATGTTCACACATTATATATCAGTGAAATTGAACTTTATTATGATAATACACAGTAGAATCTGCAGATATTAAGCAGTGTTTGGATTATTCAGTCACATCACTGAGCACACATGTAATCCAGTAACATCCTCAGATATTTACAACCAGGAGTACTGTGTAGAAGCTGTGTAAATTCCAGGCTGGAGCAGGAATCCTCAGAACCTGCAGCAGACACCACATCCGCTCATATTAGGACAGCAATTGCAGCAAAAGCGACAGCCACCGGGGCTGCTGTGACGCTTGTGTCTGTTGTTATACGGCATCTGTGTGAAAGACAAGAGACATGAGCAAGGTGTTCATCTCCAGCATCATCTCTCACTCTGTTTATTCTCTCTCCTGCTCTGATCATTTCTTCTGGAGAGAGCATCAGAGCACTTTGCAGTGAAAATGCATCCACTTCCATTAGAACTGGCTCATGGTATCTGACTTCATTCATTCATTTAACTCAACGTACCTTCCACGATTCCACTGGCATCTCTTGATACTCATTGCTCATTGGCTCCTCCAGCTCTTGCACCTGGTAATGAATTTTGTACTTTTAGGAACAACGTCTCAGTATTTGGACAAAACATTCACAGCTAATAAGCAAATGAAATGATTGAAGTCAAGTTGTTACCTCAGTGACTGGGACAGCAGAGCTCTCCTGAAGGCAAATGAAGGCGAGCACGACGGCCACTGCAACTGCAACACTGAATGTCTTCATCTTAGGAGGGTTTGACTGCTTTAAGGTTTCAATTCTTTCACTCTTTTGATGACTCTTGTCAGCTCCTTTGACTTCTTCTCCTGTCTGATGGTTGAATGTGTAAAACCTGCTGCTATTTATACTCACTTAGGCCACTGTTACCTCATCACTGACAGCACCTACAGTGCAGTAGCTGCTTTTAAGGACGGGCTTGCATCACTCTCTGAGGGATGCTGGGAAGGAGAATGGGAAATTCCTCAGCAGTGGAAATTAGAAATTCTCTATCTTTGTTTGTCTTTTCCAAATATCATGTTTTCTTGTAACTCTGCTGCAATAGTATCACTGATGTCCTGGTAAGGCCATTGACACAACACACAAAAAATGTTTCATGTTTTTTGGAAAAATATGTTTTGTGCATTGTGCGTGCCATTTATTTGTCATCAAAATAAAAAGTCCAAGTACAAATAATGCAACCGTGATGATAATGTGTTTGTCTTCGTCCTTATCTGTTCATTTCAAAAATGTTAGATAAACTTAAAATAGCAGATATTAAGAGAGCCAAGGAAAGAAGGGTTACCTATACACACACCAAACTTTTATATTTTTTTATTGTGTATTTATTCTTATACCTGTCAATAAAGGCACCCTAAGTGCAGCCTCTATATTTATTTATTCATTATATAGAATAAACTTCACGTTCCCCTCCAATATGTGAAGGAGAAACTGGGGTGGCTGCAAAAGTTGTTAAAAACGCAGATAGCCCTAATTATAGCCAGTGTTTGGTTTGTCTGCTCTGGGCTACTGTAGAAACATTGTTGTTCAACATGTTGGACTCCATGGAAGGCCACCCACAGCACCTGTACATATAAAAGGCTAATTGTAAGGTGATTGAAACACAATTCCTATGTTCAGGTGATTATGCACTAATGAATTCATACATATATATTCAATTTCTGCCAATAGAGCCTCAGAAATGTAACACACCGGACCTTTAAGAAAATTAAGTTTAATAAGCATCACCCAGGGAGTGATGCAACTAAGTGCTGTCAGTGATGAGGCAACAGTGGCCTAAGTGAGTATAA